TGTTGAAAGTAATTTTAGTTGGCTTTTCTTAAAACATCAGAATATCTGGCCACATCTGTATGAGAACCCATGCATAGCTGTGCAGCTGGAGTCAAAGAGCATAAAGATGCTGCTCATGGCCCCCCGAGTCGTCCCGTCTCCTGCCCTTCTCCCCCCTTTTGTCTCCCCAGCACTGACCATCCTGCCTGCCTTGTCCCCACCAGCCCACACATCACTGGCCTGGCCCGGCAGACATCTGAGTTTGCACCCCCGTCCCCCCACAGTATAGACAGACCCAAACAGGAGATCATTCCAAAACTGCTTCTCTCTCTTTAAACTCGGCTGTGCTTTCTCATTTTTCTTTATATCATTTGGTCCCCACAAACACCCTCTGAGATCCATGCTGCTATCATCATCCCCATCTTCACAGATACGGAAACTGTGGACCCAAGAGGTTAAGTCATTGGCCAGGGCGCACACCTCAGCAGCCTGGCCCCAGAGGCCTCGCTTCACCCCTGATCGGGCGAAGTCATAAGAGCTGTGCTGTGTGTCCCTCTTTCTCATTTCTCTGAGACATTTTCCCATCATCTCTTCATGCCAGGTACCTGGGCTGTTTCCCTGGTGACAGAAACCTGCCCACTAAGGCAAAGGATGGAATTAAAGAGAGAGAGCTGGAGAGAGGGAGGGTGCGTGTGTGCCTGTGTGTGCACGTGGTATAAACTTCCGGGACCAGTCTCGAGGTTTGGTCATTTTAAACTCCAAGAAGCCCGACTACCTAACAGCCTATCTTTTTATGCTGTTCTTTTGACTTAACACTGAGCCCCCATAAGAGCCTCTAGTCTGCTACCTCCACCCCGTCAGCTGGCACCAGAAGCCAGATGCTCACTCACATTCCCTCCCCTGCTCACCTGTCCTACCAGGTGGGAGCAACACGGGCTATGAACTGCGTACACACTTGGGTAAGCTGAGAGGAGAGGCCGAAGGAGGAAGATACACAAGAGAGGAGACTGGGGTCTCCAAACATAGGCGTTGCCCGGCTCACAGCCCTCCTTCCGGTCAGCTCCACTGACCAGAAGGAGAGAATGTGCTCTGTCAGGAACACCTGAACAGTTTTTGACATGAGGAAGGACTCAGCTGGCTGGAGACTGAGATCTGATAAACTCTTTCCATAGACAAGTGGGCTGGCACGCCAGAAATCTGCCCTGGTGTCAGCCATCCGTTGCCTTTTCTGAGTCCCCTGCTCTCTCTCCATTTCTTGCCGTAACCTCCCCCCCACCCCAGCCCCCGCCGTGCGCTGACCCAAGAAAGAGGGAGGGGACTCATTTGTTAATCAGTTGTCAGGCTGTAAAGTGATTCAACCTGACAGCAACCCTGATTGACAAGAGATAAGCGTTATCATCTCCATGTTACAGATGGGGACCCTGTGACCAGGAGAATTTGAGCATAGTGCCCAAGATGGGAAGAGAGGGTGACAGACAGAATTCGAACCTGGCTGGCTCCAAATCACTTGTATTTGCTTTGCTTTCCATTATATGAGCAGGGATATGAATTACTTCAATAGATAACTAAGGTTTTTTTTAAGAGTTATTCGGTCCAAAAATACTATAGTAGATTTGTAAATATTTTTGATAGGGTTTTGGACAAGAAGCAAGGACAACGTATCAATCGAGGTTCTCCAGAGAAACAGAACCAGCCGGGTGAATGGATGCATGAATGGATGGATAGATAGTTATTTTAAGGAATTATGGGGATTGGCAAGTCTGAATCCATAGGACAGGCCCATAGGCTGGAAATGCAAGCAGAATTTCTGTGTTATAGTTTTGAGGCAGAATGCCTTGTTTCCAGCAAAGTTCAGTTTTTGCTCTGAAGGCCTTCAACTGATTGGATGAGGCCCACCTGCATTGAGGGCGAGGACCATTCTTTAAAGTCAATTGATCATAAATGTTCATTATAGCCACAAAGTACTTCACAGCAACAACCAGACAAATTTCCAACCAAAGAGCTGGGCATCGTAGCCTAGCCCAGTTGACGCATACAAAGAACCACCCTAGCTGGGCAGCAACCACTCCATGTTCAGTGTTTAATGTATGCCAGGCGTGGCACCAAGCTCTTCCACATGCTCTTGTGCTTTTCTTTGTCAAAATGTTTAACAAGAGCATGAACTCTGAGACTCAGAATGGATAAAGAGACTTGCCCAGGGCGAGCGGTGGAGTCAGAGGTAGAAACCAGGTCAGTCTGACTGCTACTCTTATCAGACCGCCTTCCAAAATTTTCAGTCTTAATAATCTGCATTTAATGACCTGAGAGGGATGAATGGAGTGACCCAAAGCCACTCAGCTTGTCAGAGCTGACTCCAGAATTCAGGTTTCTGGGCTCTCACCTCACCAGACTGCCCCTCCGTTTCCAGAAGATCCTGCATTTGAAACGCTCCATCCGCTGCAGGACTTGTTTTCCAGATAAGTGGTGGCAGCAAATTATACAACCCTAGGAGGTCGGCAAGCCCCAGCCAGGGTGGGACGTACCGACCAGACAGGACAGAAGGCCCAGGCTCTCACTGCCACCTCAGTGAGCAGATGCGCTCAGGGGCATCACCCCGAAACCACTTTATTGAGTCTGAAATGGACCTGTCTGGTGACGAACCCATTTTCATGGCAGTTGGTGTTTCCGTGAGATTAGAGGGAGTTTGCAGGAAGCACTGTGCTTTCTGTGCAGAGAGAGAGAAGGCTTCCTAGGACTCCTCTTGGTCAGGGTGCCGCTCACCAGCTCTACGCGCTCAGCCTTGCCCTGTCGGTCAGGGTCGTTTGGTTGCAGGCAACAGAAACCAGACGTAGGCGGCGTAATTAAGATAAAAAGAAATTAAAGGAAGACAAACCCCAAAACAGTTGAGTGGTAAATCGTATGAGATCAACCCAGGATCTGTAAAACCAACACTCGAGACCATACTTAAAACCCAGGCAGCTCTGGACCCCTCTGCAGTAGAATTTCAGAAGCTTCTAGAGGGCTGCCTGATATGAGTACAGGTCAGCTCCATGGTTTCCAAATCTCTGCATCTGTGTTCAGATTTCTAAGAGTGAGAAATGGATTTGCTCAGCTTGAGTCAGCTGTCTACCTCTGAACACTCAGCTCTGACCAGGGCTTCCAGTAGGGCTGCATCGCTCTGGGAGCTGCCCTTACGTACAGGGGCCATGAGACGGGGGAGTTGTCTTTGAGCTGGGCACTAGAAGAGGTGGCTACTAGAATAACCACGATGGTGATAGTAATGTGAGGCTTTTACAGATGGAGACATCCGCGTTTCTAGATCTCCGTAGCTATCGTGTATTTGCGAATACACTCGCCCATTCTGCTTAGAGTTCAGCCCTCCTAGCCTCTCACTCTATTTCCAGCCCCAGCTCTGCCTATGTTGAGTGAAGGATTATATGAGAAAGAATGCCTGGCCGTGGACGAGGACCTCTTGGGTGTTTGGAAACTGTGAAGTCATTGATCAGAGAGACAAGAACGCAGGCCAGAACAGGCTGCCTCGAACCTCAGGTCCTCCAGCCGGCTAAGTATAGCTCACCCAGATTCTATCTTGGTGTCATCCCTTATGACTCTCCCCTGAAAGAGTGACACAAGGGCCATGTATCATTTAGTAGATCGTTAACTTAAGGATCATTATAAAGAGTGAACTACAAATGATACTCAGAGGATTCTAACATCAAATTCCAGTCTATCTCTTAACGATCCTCCCTCCACTGGGAACTAGAGGGACCTCTTAACCAAGGGAGGTTTCCGAGACTGTTCTTTTTCTGACCCGGTCCAGATTCCCCCTCTTCATTTGTTGATACCAAGCCCTGCTGATGTCCTTCTTAACTGCCACTCTGTTCTCATCCCACCCTGGCCTAGGCTGACAGTTACTTCCTGGGGTAGCCTGACAGCTCTTTGCCGATCCGCCCTAGTCCTCGCTTATGCATGGCCTCGAAGCTCTGTTGAGTCAAGTGACTTTAATAATACAGCCGTATTGCCACGGAGTGCCGCTGCTTCCGGCATTGCGCGAAACGCCTTCCAGGGCCTCGCATGACCCCAAGGGAGACTGCTTTGTCTATTTCAGAGATTACAAGGTCATGGCCAAAAGAGGTTTTGAAAGATCAAGCCAGGGAACAATGGCAGCACTGCAGCGTACTGGTGACCCTTTGTTGCCATGAGTCTGCCACGTGCCAGGTGTGCCAGCCTTATTTGTGTCACCTTGTTCCGTTTTTACAACACCTCCAAGAGAGAGAGAATATCGCTCTATTTTAGGGAGGAGAAACCTGAGGTAGTGAGAAGCTAAATTAATTGCCTAGTATGGCAAGACGTAAAGCCACAGAGCCAGGATTCACATTCTGCCTGTGTTTATTACATGCCTCCTTCTCTGTGGCCATCTCTGGGCCTTTCTCCTTTTGTAACTGACAACCACAGAGCTTGGAACTGGCAAACAAATCCAGAGGGAAAGGGACTGGCTCTCAGAGGAGCAGAGCAGGCCAAGCTCAAAGGCAAGAGTGAATACGAAGATGGAGAACTTTCCACTAGTACACGTGCTACCAGAACTGGATGCTGGCTGCATGGGGTGGATGTGGCTAGTTTAAAGGCTCAGGGTCTGGAGCATTCAAGGGGTTGAGGAGTCAGAAATGAGACCCGGAAATGCCCAGTTTGGTGATACTCTCATCAGATGTTTATCTAGCTGCTCCTGCGTGGCCAGCCTAGTGGTCTCCACCCCGTGAAGCCTTGGAGACCCACCTACCGTACCTGGTTCTGACAGGGGCGTGCACTGCAAAAGGGAGGGAGGGTCCCCCTGCCCTCCTGTCTGGCCTGCCCTCTATTCTTTCTCCAGGAGGACTGTTCTCTGACGCAGAGACAGCAGTTCTGCTCTGCCTTCCAGAGTGATATTGGGGAAGCCGCTTGGCCTCCCTGGGCCTCAGTTTTCCTGTCTTCAAACTGAGAGGCTGACTTGGGCTTTGTCTCCTACACCTGCTTGTGCCAACCACCTCCCTGCCCTCTCGTTTCAGGAAGTCTGTCATCCAGCTCGACCTCGCCAACACCAAGAAAGCGATGATCGTCCCTGCATTCGAGACGCTGCGCTACCGGCTCTCATTCCCCAAGTCGAAAGCGGAGTTGCTGTCAATGCTGGACATGGGGACTCTCTTCACATTCAGGTGGGTGGCCCTCACTGCTGCCCCCTGGGGGTGCCTGGAGGCCTTCTCGCTTGCAGGAAACCCAAACTCCAAAGCCGTTGGCCCGGAAGTTTAGTCGTAGCCTTACACCAATGTAAGGCCAAGAAAAAGCACCCCTGGCCCCACACCGTGTCCTTGGAATGTTCCTTCTCTTCCCACATGCCATGTATTTTGTTTTGAACATGGGTGACGGGCATTGTGTGTCCAGATGGAAGGAGAAGAATAGGAAGTTCAGCTTATTCTTGTGTACGTGATTCAGTTTAGGATCCTGTTCCTGTCTCGTGGTTCTGAATTCTCTCTTTTGTTTGCTTGTTCATTCATCCATCAGCTAAGTGGGGTTCGCCCTGTTCGACTGCTGTTTCCTGTTTGCTTTTTCTGTTTTTGTGAGTGATCTGTCCTATTAGGTCCTATTAGGTCCTCAGCCCTGGGACTGGCCACAAGCAGTAGCTTCAACAGCTAAAGTGGTCAGAGTGACTCCAAGATTGGACACACCACATGTGGCAACTTACTTTGCTATTGCCCAAGTGACAGTTTCAGACAAACCGCTCGCTTTCCTCATGTCCCGGGCCCCTAGATCCTGCAGGAGCATCACAGGGGCGCCACCCTACCACGTGACCAGGGAGTCTGTATGGCTGCACCCTTGGAGCAAGTCAGAATCCTGCTGGGTCTCTTGACAGAGCAGTGTGAAGGAAGAGGTGTCGCTTCTGCCTGCTCCTATTTTACAGAGAGGCCTCCAAACAAAATACAAGTGGCCAGTACTTCCTTTGAGCTTAAAAAAAAAGCATACATTTCTAGGCAATCTTAATTTTAATGGAAAAATTGTAATAGTAACTGAGGTTTTCATACCACTATTTAAGTTACTAGAAGTTTCTAGAAGGCTTTCTCAAACTTTATTTTGTGAAAATAACTTTATGAGATCGGTTATTCATCGAACCATTCAGAGACCATTCTTTTTCACATTTTATACAGACCTGTAAACTGAGGAGTGATTCCTGGTAGAGCAAGGACTCGAACTCCAGCCTGCTTTCTCTGTCTAGAATTCTGGGAAGTGGCCTGAAAGAATTTAGATCTCCACAAACCAAGCCTTCTTTCTTTTAAGAAAGAAATAATAACAACTACCATTTACTGAGTGCTTACCATGCACCAGGCGGTGTGATCAGCTCATTTAATCCTCACAACGAATCTATCAGGCAGATACTATTATCCCCATTTTACAGATCAAGAACCCGAGGCTCCGAGAGGCTAACTAACTTCCCCAGAGACACATAGTGCATGGCAGACATGGATTCAGCCCAGGTTTGAGGAACTGCAGAGACTATGCTCTTGACCTAAATACCATCCAACCACTATTCAAGTCCAGAACGTTCTCACCAATCAGTGTTTGAAGCTGCAGGGAGAATTGAGACTTTCGGACCAAACCTTAGTCTGAATCTCCCACAGACGCCATAGCCCGACAGATTTCCGAGGCATCCGTCCTTCTCTCTCCAGCCCCAGGTGATTTGAGAACTCATTTCAAGGCCAAGCGTGTGGACACGAGAGCTGGGGTTTGGCCTGCCGCGTCCGTGATTTTGCTGCTCTGGCCAACAGCAGCTTGCATGCCACCATGCCAAGCGCTAAATTACAGACCTTCCCTCCTAGAAATTGCTTTTTGTCACTGTCTCTCCAAATGATGAACCCTTAAGCCTCCTAGCAGCTGAAGCCTACTCCCCACTGCGCCTGGAATGAGAAGTCCACACCCCCACCGGTCCCCCAGGGTGGCGGTTCTCAGGGCCTGATCCCTGGACCAGGGGCTTCAGCATCCTCTGGGAACTGGTTAGAAATGCAGAGTCCCAGGCCCCACCCTACAGCCACTGGATCAGAAACTTCGGGGGTCGAACCCAGAAATCGTGACTGTTAGAAAATAGTCATCCTGTTGATTCTGATACATTTTCAAGTCTGAGAACTACTGCTCGAAGCACAGTACCCCCAAACCTCTTCTAAGTAGCATCCTGTAAGGTGTACTCAGGTAGCCTCTCGTCACTGTTTTTTGGAGCATACCTGGTGTCGATGGTCTCAGACAGCAAGCCTTGGGGTCCAGTCTCCTGGTCTGATCGTGGGTTCCTCGGAACACTTCCAGGCTGTGCCTTGTTTTAATGGCAGGTTAACGGTGACTTCGCAGTGTTACGTGCTCACCAGCCATTTGGCACGCTGTCAGCCTTCCAGGCCGAGCTAATGGAAGCCGCCTCCCCACCCAGAGGGACAGAACTTACCCGGCCATCCCTGCCCTTCCCCTGTCTTTTTCTTCATTTTCACGTTATAATAGTCCAAGAGTTTAGATTCTAAAGATGGGGGTTAAATAAGATGACCATCAATGCATTGATATCACCGAGAGTAAGATCACTGTAAATCGACATCACATCTAGGCGCAAACAAGGCGGGCAGTAAGGAGAATATCTTCATTTTGTGAGGAATGACCGTATATCGAACACAGCTCTGAGTACTTTATGCAACTTAATTCACATAACGGTCATAAATCCACAAAGTAGGTATTGTTATTATCTCCGTTTTCCCAAGAGAAGGAAACAAAGGAACAGAGGGGTGAAGTAACTTCTGGGCCCCTGCTGAGTGACGGAATGCAAACCCAGACAGGTTGGCTCCAGAACCAGGGTTTTCAGCCATTGGTTGAACTGCCTGTCGGGGAACTGGCATTTATTAACTACCTCCTGGATGCCAGCACTGCGCCGAGCTCTGTACAGACATCCTCCCATGTTAGCTCCCCAGCAGTTCAACAAGGTAGGTCATCTTTCTGCCAGTTGTCACAAGAGGAAAGTGAAGCTGAGTTTAAGTGCTTTGTCGTCGAGGGCCGCGGCTCCCGAGTGGCGGAGGTAGTGTTTGAACCCCGGTCCAGCAGCTCTACTGCATCAGGCTTTGAACCTAATATGTGTTCATGACCTTGGCTGTGCTGGGCCACTTCTTTCACAGAGGTCAGATGTCAA